TATATGGAGATTTGTTGTCCCAACAGCTCGAAACAATCAGTACCTGGAAATTGGTCCAGATGGTGCATCGCGTTTTTTTTTTTGAAGAAGGTTCACCAATAAAGTTGCTCAAAGCAGTCGATGTTTCCGTTTTGAAATCTTTGTTACTCAAAATGGCGCGCATATTCAAGTTTAGTCCAGATGATCGAAGGCAAAGGAGCGAGTGTTCCATATATGCATCACATCATATGAAGAAGATGAGTGTAACAAACGCTTTGGAAATTTCCAAGCTACGTCCTCTTTGTGTTTATTTCCAAACAAGTTTTGAGTACTTTTCTATTTTTATTATACGCAAAAGTACTGTAAAACTTATCTGTATGTCCGTATGTATGTTCCGAGAAAATTTTATTTCTGAACCGATCCAGACCAAACTTGGCACACATACAATTGGGTCGGGCGGGTGTAAGCTACTTTTCATCATTGATCTACATCGATTTTATCGATTTTTTGCAAGCTTCAACTACGAGGATGGGGTTGGTCTAGGGAGGGGGGGGGGAGGAATAAGTGAGCATGCTGATTACGAAAATATTATTGACAGTGCCAGACAGAGCCTGGTTCGCCAGCTAGTACTCAATATTTTCATACTATATAAGCACAGAAAACGATCATAATTCCCCTTCTATTTTCATAAAAGATTGGTGATCAGAGATACCACAATTTTCAGGACTTTTTGAAGCGCTAGCCCTTGGAGATTGCATGGCGACCTGATCATTGCTATAAAAACTTGTTGAAAGTTTGCTTCGCAGAATTACTGTAAAATCAGCGTATCGTCTAAGCTGAGTTGAGATCGAAACTGACATCTCTTCGATTCCATCATTGAACTTTTTCGCGTGTGGGTGGTGGAGTAGCTCGTCCTAAAAGAAATTCGTAACAAATGATAAGAGTTTCTACTATTTGGCCCATTCTAACGCATTCTTCCACGTTCGAAAGGGGCGTAAGCATAAGTAAGTAAGCAACATGTTACCTGTACATTGCCTTACCCTAATGGCAACGCGAATGGCAGATTGCGTGAAATTATTGGCGGTTCCATAGCTATATAAGAAGTTGAAGCGAGTTGCCTTACGGCCAAAACACCAGCAAGCTGGAGAAGCACCGAAAAGGTGTGCTTGGCACCAGATCTAACCCTAGCTGCAGCCGAAGTTAAGCTTTCCGCGAATCTCAGGTCATGCACATCTTTCTCATATTCGATATACAAGCTAAGGTACTCTTTACCCAAGCGTTCGTGCGATAACTGTAGAAGATTTGCTATTTTGAACGGAAAATCCATCCCATTGTTTATTGTTAGGACTACGGATACTGTGGATCTGTTTTCCTTCCTCACTCCACTGATTATCATTGATGTCAATTGATGAGTTGGCTTAGTCTTGACACTTAATTAGCCGCCCAATTAGTCATCCGTAGTTTTAGTCATTATAGGTTAGGTGTTTTTGAATCAATGTCGCGGTGTCTTATACTTTTGAACCTTCCAGTGCAAAATTAGGCGCTTTTCTCAAGCCTTCATAGTTCAGGATAGCATGGCCCGAATTAATACAGATGCTAGTTGGTGCTACAAACAAAATTTGGACCTATCATACAATATGGTCAAATCTTGCATAGCACCAGCGAAGAAAATCGGCCACATGCTACCTGCAAACTCACTAAAGAAGAATTTTATAAGTTTCTCAATATGTGCTTAGCAACAGGCTTAACAGGATGAATATGCACCACAACCTGTAGTTGAAAAACACTTTCACCCGAAAATTCTCACATTTCCATGATTGATTTTATTCTTCCCTTTAATGTTAAAGCTACAGGGCTCCTAAATTGCAGAGTCGTTTGCACCAGCGATCGCGCGACCGCGTCGCGCCAGGGCATTTTGCCGGCGCCGGCGCCATCGATCGAGGCGGCGCCATTGATGCCCGGGCGCGACGCGGTCGCGCGACCGCTGGTGCAAACGACTCTGCAATTTAAGAGCCCTGTAAAATGCAGTGTGAGATTGCACTCAAAATAAAGTTTAGGAAGTCAGTAGAAAAACCTCCCCTCTCCAAACATCCTAAAAGCTGCTCACAGAAGACCATTCGCACCCAAACGTGTGTCTCTTAGAATCTCCTACACATACATGCTCAGGAGCTGATGGGTTAAGTCATCCAACACTCCACTTATTTACTTAGAATGTAGTTGCAGTAAGTCCACTGTTCCTGAACCATTTTTGATCCGATCATTATGTCACGCATATTGTGTGGAGCCACTGCATGGAAATTTGAATTGAGTTGACTATGTATATTCAGATATATGGCGGCGCAATTTCAGAGCTTCATGCACATTAACCTAAAAGCTCCTACAACAGTTCAATCGTTCTAGGTTCGCAGAACGCTGCTTTGATAAGTTTCTAAAGTGTTCGGTTGAAGCGATAACCATTTCGTTTACGAGAGAAAACAGAAGAAAGGCCCTTAAGGTTTGCAAAATTGGATAAGTGGATGCTTTTTTCTTAACACGTGAGTGATGTCCAAGAAATGTTAAATTCAGAGGTGTTTCGGTGCTTTGAAGGTGTGCTCAGAAACAACAGCAACTCGGATATTCAATACATTAATATCGATTTTAAGCTCAGAAATCCTATGACTTTCTCCTATTCGCCCAGTGCGTTTCATTAACATATTTTAATGCACTTTCTGCGTCGATTTCAAGCAATTTTTGAGATGTGCTAAAAAAAGTGTCGTTTGAAACTTGATCATTAGAAGATTTATAGCCAAAGCTACATGGAAAGACCATGAGTGGGTCTAAAAATAGTAACCTTCTTGATACATATGTATTCACATACAAATACTTTCAGTTTTTTCTTATTGGTAAGAGTACTTACGTAGAAAATAGATCCGAGTTTTCCCTCTCCTCGTTCACACCTAGTCCCTCAAATCACAATTCCTCGTGCTATGTTAATAATCATAAATGAGTAGTGGCTGATATGTTGTTTCGGTACAAACTTTCGTGGCGGCTTAGATATTGAGTAAGAACAATCTTTCACGAAGTCTTCAGCTGTGCAAGATAGACAGGGATGAACGAGGTGGCCGCATTCATGCGCGGGAGCAAACTCATTGTCAGAAACTCTTTAGTATTACGGATTAGTCAAACTTTCGAATTTTTGGTTGGTAGCTCTCATCCGTTAAAATCCCAAGAAATGCACAATAAAATCCAAAGCAGCCAGTGTCGAACTGCTCTTTCTAGAAGAACGGATTTTGTACTGGTCGTGCTCTTCTCCTATAAAGATTCTCTAGAAAAAATGCTAAAAAATCAATCTCAGAAAATTAGATTTTTTGGCATTTCTTTTTCAAAAATCTTAACTTCTTAAAGAACAGCTCGATTAGCAAAATATTTGCCCAGTTAGAAAGAGGAGGTTAGAAAACTTATGGCACCTGCTGTCTTGGATTTTGTTGCACAGTTTCTGAACTTTTAACGAAATAAACTCCGCCTGTAGCCAGTGATCGGCTGAGCAGGCTCACCTGCTGGAACTTTTCGTAATGGGAGCTTCTATGCCTATTCTTGCTGAATTTGGCAGAGTGTCGTAATTGCATCGCCTTGTGATTTGTAAGCATCCTATAAGGACCGAAGAAGGACATGTGGTGTAAGTTGGCTCAAAATTCTAGAAGAAATTACTTGGTAAGCATTATGTAATACGAGTTTCCAGCAGGCAACGAATTTTTTTAAAAATTTTGTCTTTTGCTTGTGGATGTAATGAAAACGGAACAATGAGAAAGAGTTCCACACTTGCATTGTTGTCCTTTTGAGCTAAGGAATTGCATACTGGAAAATATGCAAGACTGAACAGAAGACTTGATCATTCCCATAAGTAAAACAGTTTTTTCAAAATTAGCACTTCAAATAAATGTTGTGAAAATGGTAAGACTTCGATACTAAGTGCGATTGGGGTTAATTGATCACTGCAGTAATTAATTTTATATCAAATGATTTTGTAACATTGTAATGTCCATGTTGTGCTTTAATACCAACCCCGCACGGATGGCAGAAATACAAGTCCGCTAAAAAAGACCATTTGGTATTTTGAGGAGAGCAGCAGCACGCAGTTTATTTGAAGGAGCTTTCCCGCAGGAAAATTTGAAAAAAAAAAAGAATGAAATCTCATTTTCTGCCTATGTGACACCTGATTGTATTAGCTTGATAAGTCTGCTCATTCGAAAATTTAGTTTTTCTTCACTAGCGAGACTTAATCAGACATGTTTTGTTGGCGTAATGTCCAGCTTTCAGCATATACAAGGACTATGTACGGATTTGTAGAGAAGAGCGAATAGAATCAAACATGCACCTTTATGAACATCAATTATCTCAAGAAAAGCAGTCAATCATTTTTGACTCTCATCTTATACTCGGAGCTTTCGGCATCCTAGTTCAGAGGGCTTCACTCACTATTGTTGTTTCCTGGTCAAAGACGATGAAGTTCAAATATTTATCAAATTACCTGATAGCACCAACACAATTTGCCTACTGCCTAGAACCTAATGTACGTCTTACACGTGACGCGGAATCCATAACTACCTAGGCACCAAAAACTAACAACAACTAACAGTGCACTTTTCGTATCGATGTATTGCAGTAAAACACAACAAATCGACAAATGAGAGAAATACGTCGAATTGACATTGAAAACAAAAGAAATCTAGTACTTCTCCTAGATAAACAGTCCTATGAAGGAGAATATGTGGATACAACGGTATGATGAAACCTGCAATTAAACTCCTCTGAAAGAGGATCTAGCAATGCACAACAACCCGATCAAACAAATCGCCGTTAACACTGATTGATTCGACGGTAACATGGTAGAAAAACAGAAAGTTTTTGTTGTATCCTACAACTCTCAATCTCACGCAACCATTTTATATCTAGAGGGCCACAGAAGGCAGCAGAAACTTCTAACAGGAATCCTAACCTCTAAAGAACTAAGAATGCTGCATGAGAAATGAGTACAGAAACAACTAGTCAAGCTCAAGGTTTCTGAATCCTGTATTTAGAGCTTCAAGAAGTTCATCGTAATCCTTTTTGATTTTTTCTTCACCATCCTTTACTGGATCTTTGAACTTCATAGACGATAATTGGTACAAGAGGTCACCTAAGTGATCTCTGATAACCGCCCAGGTGACTTTGTTCTCCGTTTGGGCAGTAGTTTCTACAGCATGTCGAGCCAAATCGTAAAAAGCAATCATATTTTTGAGCATTCCAACAGTTTTGTAGAATGGACAGAAGCGATCGTATGGAGTATAACCATTCTGTTGCAGGAAATCATCTTTAATGAGTTTGGCCACTTCCAGAGTGATCTTGTCGCTTTCTGCAAGGGACGCTTTGCCGACCAGCTGCACAATTTCTGAAAGATCTTCTTCTTCTTGCAAAATCTCCTTACATTTTGTTCGCAGTGCCACGAATTCAGGGAATGTCTTCTCGTAGTACTCTTCCAAAGCTCGCATATACTTGCTGTAGGAGATCAACCAGTTGATTGAGGGGAAATGCTTTCGTTGAGCCAACTTCTTATCCAAACCCCAGAACACCTGCACGATACCCAGGGTAGCAGATGTAACCGGATCTGCGAAATCACCACCAGGAGGCGACACAGCCCCGACAATTGTGACCGATCCTTCACGTTCGGGACTGCCGAGACATTTCACCTTACCAGCACGCTCATAGAACGAAGCCAGTCGAGCAGCCAGGTAGGCCGGGTATCCTGAGTCGGCAGGCATTTCTCCAAGTCGACCGGAAATCTCACGAAGTGCCTCAGCCCATCGGGACGTTGAGTCAGCCATCATGGCAACGTGCAGACCCATATCGCGGAAGTACTCGGCTAAAGTGATTCCTGTGTAAATGGAAGCTTCTCGAGCGGCTACAGGCATATTGGAAGTGTTTGCTACCAGAGCTGTTCGCTTCATGATTGAGGTTGTGACGCCTTCCACTTCCATAGTCAATTCAGGGAAGTCTCGCAATACCTCAGACATTTCATTTCCACGCTCACCGCATCCGACGTAGATAATGGCATCGGAGTT